TGTAGCATTATATCTGCGGTCGGGAAGCGGTTAATTGATATGGGGAAATGGAAGAGCCTTATGAGCTTTAGCTAATTACACTACCAGGGGAGGACTGATAGCTCATGGGGCCCCCGGGCAATAGGGGATCATGGGGCCCCTGTGTTCTTGACCACACTCAAAGCACACTCAAAAAAGCCTATAAAAAGGTACCAGGGGCATTTCATGGGGCCCCCTACAGACCCTGAGCCCTCAGGAAGTGCCTGAGTGCTCTAATGGTCAGTATGCCCCTGTGCACTACTAACAGCTCATAGGAAAACAATGAACTCCCCAGCAGATCCAGAATGATCATCACTGGGGCAGGTTAACTAATGTAGCACCCCCTAGTTTTAGAGTACGCTGCTAGGTAAATTTGACCAGCTCCTTCTCTGTGGAAAATAAAATAACTAGTTCCACTGAAATCGTCTGAGCAAGGATGGATTGCTTAGGGCTGCTCAGTGTTTCACAGGGTGCTGCTCTGTTACTTAAATAGTCTGAGGCCTGAGCAGCAAGGGGCAGAGTTTCTGGGTCCAGTTCTACAGAAGGAGACCCCTGTTCAGGTGCTCTACCCCCTTGGTTAGAAGTCTACGATGAAGCCAGCCTAGACACTGAAGTCCCAGCTAGGTTTAGCTGGGGGAGCCTATTTGCAATTCGAGGTCCAAGGATCAAGTTGGGTCAGGAGGACCTCACAGGAGAGAGTGCCAGGAGGAAGTTGTGAGAGAGAGCCTAAGCTATCCTGTGGTGGTGTGAGTCTACATCTCCCTTAGTAGGAAGAGCTTAGTGGATATTGGCAGGAGGAAACCAAAGATCCTGTGACTTGTGCAGGCCATAGATGGGTCGAAAATCGGCCGATTTTTCTTTTAAAAAAACGAAAAATCGGTTGTTCAAGTGGCCGACGTTACCACCAATGGTAAAAAAAAAATCGGCCGATTTTCATCCCATCTACAGCCGGCAAAAAGTGTCCCTGCAGAGAGCTCTGCTATTTCTTTGACAGTTCCTTGACATTTACAGACGTTGCAACAATGTATCTATATTTGTATCCATTTAGGATACAGATGTTTTTATTCGGAAACAAATAGATACAATGTTGCAACCTCTGTAAATGTCAAAGAACTGTCAAAGAAATAGCGGAGCTCTCTGCAGAGACACTTTTTGTCGGACTGGAATTCCTCTTATTTTCATCCTTCTTCTTCTCCTTCTTCATCATCATCCTCTTCTTCTTCATCATCATCCTCTTCTTCTTCTTCTACTTCTACATCATCATCATCATCATCCTCTTCTTCTTCTTCTTCTACTTCTTCTTCTTCATCATCATCCTCTTCTTCTTCTTTTTCTTCATCATCATCCTCTTCTTCTTCTTCTTCGTCATCATCATCCTCTTCTTCTTCTACTTCTTCATCATCATCATCCTCTTCTTCTTCTTCTTCTTCTACTTATTTATCATCATCCTCTTCTTCATCTTCTTCTACTTCTTCATCATCATCCTCTTCTTCTTCTACTACTACTTCTTCATCATCATCCTCTTCTTCTACTTCTCATTCATCATCATCATCATCTCTTCTTATTTTCTTCATCATCGTCATCCTCATCTTCTTCTTCTTCTTCATCCTCCTCCTCTTCTTCTTCATCATCATCCCCTTCTTCTTCGTCATCCTCCTCCTCCTCTTCTTCTTCTTTTTCATCATCACCCTCTTCTTCTTCTTCGTCATCATCATCCTCTTCTTCTTCTTCTTCGTCATCATCATCCTCTTCTACTTCTTCTTCATCATCATCCTCTTCTTCTTTTTCTTCATCATCATCCTCTTCTTCTTCATCATCCTCATCATCCTCTTCTTCTTTTTCTTCATCATCATCTCTCTTCTTCTTCTTCTTCATCATCATCATCCTCTTCTTCTTCTTCTTCTTCATCCTCTTCTTCTTCCTCTTCTTCTTTTTCTTCTTTTTGTCTTCCTCTTGCAGGTCACTGCTCATGCGCAGATTTTTTATCGGTAAAAAATCGGCCGATTAGCCCATTATTGCCGCGTCCGAAAATCTTTTTTTTCCAACTTTCCCGATTAAAAAAAATGGCCAAAATACCGAAAAAACGGCCGAACAAATAGCCCACTAACGATCTGAAAATCGGCCGAAAAATCGGCCGATTTTCGACCCATCTATGGCCTGCATAAGTGGGTACATAACCTAGGCTATAGAGTTGTGACAGTGTAGGAGGAAAGGAGGAAAGGTTACAGGACATTTCTTTTGTGCAAGTGCAGCCAACGGTTTGTGTTGCAGGTTGTACAGTTTTGGGATACCCGTTGTTCCCTATCCCTATCCACGTTCATCGTTCCCCAACCCCCCCCTCCAAAAAAAACAAAACAAACCTAGACTGTTCTTTAGAACCAGTGGAGGAGTGTTGAAAATGCTGTGTGCCTGCTGTGTAGGCTCAAAGGGAGAAATAGGACTCATTTAGTGGGTGCGCTACACTAACTTTTTAGAATATTAGGTTAATGAAAAAAAAAAGGTGCAACAAATAATAACAGTTACAAAACAGACAATAAATGAGATTGAAAGGTAAAAGTACTTGGGGACATGGTCTGTCCATGAGCAGGTAAGGACACAGTTTGCTATGGCTCCCACTACCACTCACAAAACACAATGCCAGCCAAGTGGAGGCACTCACCCCAACAAACTCTCAAAACTTGCAAGAGTGCCTTGGAGACATTTACTGTCTATTAGAGCAACACTCAGGGACACGGGCCATATCTAAGATGGTGGTGTGCCATGTAGCCTGAACAGGATACCTCTGTCAGCTGAGCAGGCACAGCTCCTGGTACACAGACTGAGGTAAGAAATTGCATTGCTCCTACCTGAATCAGGTCTCAGGGCTCCCTCTCAGCTGTTTCTGACAAGAAACAAAGAGCAGGACTGGGATATCATATCTTACATTAAATCTTTTCCCACTAAAGCTGATATAAAGCAATAAATACACAGAGTAGAAAAACTGTACAAATATGATAATAACCAAAATCTGAAATTACTTAGCTTGGGCATAGATTGGACAATTTAGAAACTAAATATGTTCATGCTATTTACTCACTTGGGCTCATAGAGCAGAAGTCTCTTCATCAAGTATTAAAATTTGAATCTTTATTGTTAAAACTGGATGACTATGAAAACTGAGGTAGGAGGCAAAATATACATATAATAGGACTTTTAGAGGCCACATAGTCTAAGGACTTGATTCCCATGCTAACTTGCATTTTCATGCAAGTACTTGGCAATGAGGCTTCTGAGCACATAGAATGAGATAGAGATCATAGGGCCCTCCAACCTCTCTTATATTCCGTCTACAAAAATAGAGGCCATTATGAGAGGTAGATTTTGATGGCGCCATAATTAATCTATATCCTGACCAGGGGCGGACTGACAACTTATGGGGCCCCCGGGCAATAGGGGATCATGGGGCCCCTGTGTTCTTGCCCAAACTCAAAAAAGCCTATGAAAAAGGTACCAGGGGCATCTCAAGAGGCCCCCTACTGACCCTCGGGCAGTGCCCGAGTTTCCAAATGGTCAGTCCGCCCCTGATCCTGACTTTTTCCAGTGGACTCTAATGATGCAGAGGGCACTCTGCCCCTACTGGGTCTGTTGTGAAAATCTTTGATGCCATTTATTGCCTTACCTACAACCAATTCACTTTCCTCAAACACATCTTGTGGAGGATTTGAAGATGGCTTTTTCCTGGAACCAAAAGCACTACCACATCTTTAACACCAGCTTTAATAATGAGCGATTAGGCTTTCTGGGGTACACACCATGACTTCTACACACACTAGGATTTTATGAGCCTAAAAATTATGAAACCCAGCTGTAGAGGGATTGTTTGTGTTTTTTGCTTGCACTCCTGCTTAGCTTACCAAAGTTAAAGGAAGATATGAAAGTATGTGTTTTTTATTTATTTTTTTAAATACAGTATGTATTAAAAGGAAATACATTATTCATGGAAATATAATTCATAGACAAAAACAAGATTTGTATTTCTAAAACTTTCAAGAATAAACCTCTTTCTTCTGTTGTTGGTTTTCACTTAATGCAAATTGGGGTCATACTGTATGCAAAGCTAGTTCAACAGAATTATTTGAGTGGGCAGCAAAATGCATCAGACTGTGCAAAAACAAACTGCACCAAATTGCATGGTACCATGTAAATTGGTGCCCGCAAAAACACTGTGCTCACAATCCAAATTTGGTGTGCCGTTAAAATTATATTGGCACCTTCATACAGATTACAGGGGCTGTGTGATCACCTGTGATGGTGAAACGCACACGGAACACACCTTTCCTATGTTCTGTGTGAATAGAGCCTGAAAGACTCTTATAAGGAAACACTGGGAGAGATTTACTGAAACTCAGAATTTGGTGCAGCTGTGCATGGTAACCAATCAGATTTTAACTTCAATTTAAGCTTTAACAATAAAAACCTGGAAGCTGATTGGTTTCTGTACTGAGCTGCACCAGATTTTGCACCATGCAGTTTTAGTAAATAATCCCCACTGTTTCAATATATGCATCATTCATTGTAATTAGTGAGAGGCCCAACACCCAGTTAGATTCACGGTTGAACATTCGAACCTACTGAAAGTTCGACCGCAAACTTCGAACAGGGAAAATTTACTGAACGGTATCTTACTGCATCTGAGTATGTATGTATGATTAAATATGTAACTTAGCATACTGTATTTTCTCAGTAGTGCATGGAACATAAGAGGTACAGTGCAATATTTTTCAAGTAATACCAAAATAAAGAACTCAGTTTCTTGTATTCTCAAACAAAAAACTTAAGCGGTTTCACGTCACTCTACAATAAGTCCTCTCCCCTATCAGCTCCAGCACACTGCTTTGTATGGCTCTTCATAGAAGAGAGATTCAAAGCAGTGTGCTTACAGTTGAAAGCAGAGACACAGCTTAGTGTGAAACAGCACACAGCACACAGTTGACCCTTTGATCGCCCCACATGTTAACCCCTTTCTGCCTAGTGCCATTAGTACAGTGTCAGTGTTTTTTATTAGCATGATCACTGTATTGGTGTCCCTGGGGATTTCAGTGACACCAGGTCAGTTCCCTCCCAGTGTCATAAAGCCCGATGCAGTCCCGCAGTACCACTATAAGTCGCTGATCGTTGTCATTACTAGTAGAAAAAAAAGAAATTCCAGTATCTATACCTCCATTTGTAAGCGCTATAACGTTCATGTAAACCAGGGGTGGCGAACACGCGGCTCTCGAGCCGCATGCGGCTCCCGGCCAAAATGAATGTGGCTCTTTGCTCTTACTTCTTTGATCTTACCTGTTCCTCTATCCAGCGGCGCACTGTCTTCCGGCTTCTGTAGTGTGGGCACTGGGCATGACAGCCGGGTGCCAAGTGCGCATGCGCAAGAAGCGGTGCTTTTTGTGAATGGTACGGCGGTACCTGGGACACATGACAGATCCCAGAAGCCGCCGGACCAATCACAAAGCGCAAGTGCTTCTCGCTCATGCGCACTGGGCACCCGGCTGTCATGCCGAGCGCCATTACAGAAGACAGCGCGCGGCTGGATCGAGGAACAGGTAAGATCAAACAAAAACTCTGCGGAAGAGCGGGTACCTGTCAAATTCAGGTACCCGCTCCCCACCTCCCCAAAGGTCAGCAGTCATCTGTACTGTCCGCAGTCTCTGGTCATCCCTGTGCTGTCCGCAGTCTCTGGTCATCCCTGTGCTGTCCGCAGTCTCTGGTCATCCCTGTGCTGTCCGCAGTCTCTGGTCATCCCTGTGCTGTCCGCAGTCTCTGGTCATCCCTGTGTTTTGTAAGGGGAAGAAAGTGTTATGGTGAATAATATGGTTTTAATTATGTGTTTTTGTGTGAGTGTTTGTCTGTTTTGGCAGGTCATTGCGTGGTGTGGCTCTCTGATTTTCACAGTTTAAAATTTTGGCTCTTTGTGTCTAACTTGTTTGCCACCCCTGATGTAAACCAATTAGTTTACACGTATTTTTAGCAAAGACATGTAGCAGAATACATTTTGTCCTACATTTACAATGAAATTTGATTTTTTTTATTTTTTTTACTGGACACGGGTAATAGCAAAAAGTCAAAAATATTGTTTTTTTTCTCAAAATTGTTGTTTCGTTTTTTTATAGTGAAAAAAAATACAAAACGCACAGGCGATCAAATACCACCAAAAGAAAGCTCTATTCGTGGGGAAAAAGGACATAAAGTTATTTTGGGTGCAGCATTGCATGACCGTGCAATTGTCAGTTAATTTAACACAGAGCCGTAATGCAAAAAATAGCCTGGTCGGGAAGGGGGGTAAGTCCTCTGAAAGGCAAAAAACTTAAATAATAAACAGAAAAATGAGTTTAAAAATACCTATTAATACAGGAGGACCTTGGTGCAAGGCTGCCCTACAAATTCCTGTTCAGAGTTGTTAGAACTGCTACCTCATTGACAGCAACCTTCTCGATCCCCTACGGGCCGACTTCCACTCACAACATTCCACAGAAACTTCCCGATTTAAACTCACCAATGGCCTACTAACTGCTGAAACCTATAGCCAGTACTCTATACTCCTACTCTTAGACCTTTCTGCTGCCTTTGACACAGTTGACCACCCACTCCTCCTCAACAAACTCCACTCCCTTGGCCTTGGTGACTCTGCTCTTTCCTGGTTCTCCTCCTACCTAACTCAGCGCACTTTTAGCGTCACATACAATACCATCTCCTCCGCTCCTCTTCCTCTTTTTGTTGGGGTACCCCAAGGCTCAGTCCTTGGGCCCCTCCTCTCCTATCTATATACCTCTTTTCTGGGCCAGTTGATAACCTCCCATGGCTTCCAGTACCACCTCTATGATGATGACACTCAGATCTATCTCTCAACTCCTCAACTCACCCCCTAAATCTCCTTACATATCACAAATTCAATGAGCGACATATCCGTATGCATGTCACATCACTTCCTCAAAGTAAATTTTTCTAAAAAAAAAAAAAGATTGTAATATTTCCTCCTCCCCGATCCCCTCCCCATGACTTTACCATTGAGATCAGCAGTAAAACCATTGATCCCTCCACACATGCCAGGGTTCTAGGTGTAATCCTAGACTCTGACCTCTCCTTCCGCTCCTATATCCAATCACTGGCTAAATCTTGCCACCTTAACCTCCGCAACATTTCCTGAATTCGCCCCTTCCTAACACCACCACAAAAAAGCTTATTCCCACGCTGACTACTGCAACTCCCTACACAGGCTACCCCCCTTCAGTCTATTATGAATGCTGCTAATTGATCCGTGACTGCTGCCTCTCTCTGCCAATCTCTTCACTGGCTTTCACTAGACCAAGGTATAAAATTCAAAATACTAACTACAACATACAAGGTCATACACAACATCGCTCCCAGCTACATCACCAACCTCATCTGCAGATATCGCTCCAAACCGTTCTCTCTGCTCTTCCCAAGACCTCCTGCTCTACAGTTCCCTTGTTACCTTTTCCCATGCTCACTTCCAGGACTTCTTAAGAGCCTCTCCCATCCTCTGGAACTCACTGCCCAGTATATCCAGTTAGCTCCTACCCTGTCCACCTTTAGGCGATCCTTGAAAACTAACTTATTCAGGGGAGCCTACCCCACCTCCTCCACCTAAGAACAGTATTTGATTCACCTCCATCAGATCATCCCCTTCAGCTATTACCTTTTGTACCACCTCCCCCATCCCTTTAGATTGTAAGCTTCATGAGCAGGGCCTTCCAATTCCTTCTGTATCAAACTGTATTGTAATTGCACTGTCCCCCTTTTATATTGTAAAGTGCAGTGTAAACTGGTGGCACTATATAAATCCTGTATTATAATACTAATACCAGACAAGCATCCGTTTAGAGCAGCCTTGCACCCAGTCCCTTTATAATTTGCTGACAGAAGGCTGCCCTAACAAATGTCTGTCTGGCAATTCTTAACAGGTGTGACAGACTCAACCGGGACAAGGGCTTTTGGAGGGGACTGCAGGCTAGCCTCTTGCCAACTGACCATGGCCTTAGCATCTGAGGGGGCTCTATTCTTTGGTGTGTGCCAGGGGGGACCTTTGGAGTAGTTTACTTCAGATTCCAGTCCATGTCTCCCCAAAACACACAGACTCTGAGAACTGGAGGACCAAAATTAGAATTTGGGATCTCTGTGCCCAAACTAGCATTGACTGCTTCAACCCCCCTCCTTCCTAGACTCGGAGACTCTAAGAAGATGTTGATATAATCAGAAAAACAATCCCATGCTGAGGACTCTTGCTCTAATCTGTTTATTGAGGTGTTATGTGTTTACTATCTTCTCCCATTGTGTGCCTCCTAACTGTGCATTCCCATTGACTTGTTAGCAAGTCCTTCTGGAGGTGCCTACATGATAGGATTAGACTGATGTCAGCTCCACCTCGTTATCTAATCAGTGTGGGATATTTATCCCAAAGTGTAATATTTGTTTAATTGTTCATGAGGGGATGGGCCCTATTTCTGGAGTGTATAAAAACCCTGTGTTCAATAAAGAGTTCCTGTTTGGCATCCAAGCTAGTCTTGTCTAGTCTTGGCTGCAGTGTCCAGATATAATACCTTGGTCCTGTGTCCTAGTGACGAGGAAGTGGTTCTCTGATGAAATCACTAAGTCGGTGACAAGCGTTTTGTCACAACAGGTGTCTGTTTAGGGTGCCTGCAGCAAAACAGAGCTTGGTGTAAGGGTAACCTATTAGCACAAACTTATACCAGGGTCCTTTCCTGCACTAAGTCTAAGTTCACACCTATGCATTTTTCGTTACATTTCCGTTTTTGCAGAAATGCACAGCAGTCCATTTAACATGATTTCCTATGGGACAGGTTCACATCTTTGCGTTTTCACCTGGTGCATTTTTTTTTGTAAAGGGTCAGGGACTTTTTTAAATGCAAAACATTGCATTTTTGGTTAAATAGACTTAAAATGGAGATGCTGCAGAAAAGCATGTAGTGCATTTTGATGCATTTTTAATGCATTTTGTGCTTTAATCTGCCCAGCAACAAGCTGGAAAAAAAACCTGCTTAACTTAAAAACACATCAAACACAAACTGTATAGATGTAAACCTATCCTTACTGAAAGTCAATCTGAACCAAAAAAAAAAGAACTTTGTTTCAAAAATACAACAATATTTATACAATACCACAATATATGCGCTAATTATAGTTGGAGCTCATATACAAACCCCCTGGAGGTTTTAAGAGTAGTATACTTTTTTAATTTTTTACAGTGCCACAAGTTTGATCAGCAAAAGTTGGAGTTTCAAAACATTCTCCTACATTTTGTAGTTGTAAATTCATCTATTGCACATGAATAATTTATTTTGAAGCCAGATCACATTCAATGGGCAATACTGCTAAGGCAGATAATCCCTCTTGGCTCATAGTCGATATTAAGTATGTTTGTATTCATTTTAGTTTTGAAAAAGCTCCCCCTCAGCTGATGCAACAGTAACTGAAATTGTTAAGATGACTCTTAACGCAACATAGATGTTTGCATAAACGTCATTTAAATTGGTATCAAGGAGGTATGTCAAAGAATCGGACATATCCAATTTTGGAGGTACAATACATATACACATTCATAACTCTTCATATAATTCCAGAACTCTTATGTCAGAATCAAAAGTATTGGATAAAGTAAGTAGTGCTTCAAAGTTCTTTGCAGTTTTTAAAAAAGGTCTTCCTCAGATTTCATGCATAAAGATGAGATATCATATAAAAATCCAAAATTGTCAACATAGCTTTTAAAACCTTCAAAGCGAGGCTGAGCAATAGCATGAATCTTGTCAACAGTAATGTTGAAATATTCTGCTCTGACCCTGTTTGCAGGGTTAACTGCTTCATCTAGACACTCATAATCAAATATTCTTTTGGTCCTGCTATCCAGCACTGTCAAAATTCCCTTGGAATGTCAATTTCTTCAGCCATTTCACTGGCATCCACAATGACAGAATTAAAGCCATTTTGTTGGTATTCTTTCTGCCAGCACAGGAATTCCTCAAAATGTTTTAATGCAGTGTCCAGCTGCATACTAGTCTTTTGCCATACCTTGCTGATAAGGTTGATTTTTACTAAAATCTCATATTATACAATTAATGATAGAACAAACTCATATGACAACATTTATTTTTTTAGTGAATTACATTCACTACAGAAATCAGGATCAGTGTTCTTCTGTGTCATCTCTTCCAGGCACTCAGCGACTTCTTTTAGCTGGTAAGAGACAGCCTTTATGCTCTCAACTCTGCACTCCCATCTGGTTACTGACAATGGCATGAGGGTAATATTTACCTTCTCTTTAACCACTTGCCCTCCTGAGGATTTACCCCCCTTCCTGACCAGGCCATTTTTTGCATTGCAGCGCTGCGTTATTTTAACTGACAATTGCACAGTCATGCAACACTGCACCCAATTGAAATGTATTTCCTTTTTTTCCCTACGAATTGAGCTTTCTTTCGGTGGTATTTCATTGCCTGTGCGGTTTTTATTTTTTGCGCTATAAAAAAAAAAGATCGTCAATTTTGAGGAAAAAAAAAAAACAATATTTTGGACTTTTTGCTATTAAACATGCCCAGTAAAAAAATGTAAAAATCAAATTTCGTCATATATTTAGGCCAAAATGTATTCTGCTACATGTCTTTGCTAAAAAAATCCCAATACATGTAAATGAAATGGTTTACTTGAGAGAAAGTATTGGCGTTTACAAATGGCGGTGTAGATACTGGAATGATTTTTTTTTTTTTTTACTAGTAATGGCGGCAATCAGCGACTTATAGCAGGACTTCGGCAGGTATTCTGACACTGGGGGGAACTGACTTGGTGTCACTGACATCCCAAGTGACACCAATACAGTGATCAGTGCTAAACAAAGCACTGACACTGTACTAATGACACTGGGCAGGAAGGGGTTAACAGGGGAAATCAAAGGGTTATCTGTGTGCTGGGAGTGTTTTTTTCATCTATTGGA